GTGAATGGGATCCAAAAAAGTTTGAACTGGGGATCACACTATCTTATGGCCATAGGTCAAATGACTTTTGTGAGCTTGGGGAATGAATGCTTCAGTGATGAATGGAAGAGTTTTGAATTTTCTGTATTATTTGTCTGCTATTTATTAATTTCCTTTTAAAGAAATTCAGTGAGAGAGTTCAGGAAAGATGGTGAAAAAATTATTTTTCTCATGTTTAATTCCTGTGTGATTGGAGCAACTGTAATTATTTTGAGCTTAAACAATGGTTTAAAATTTCTTAATCATTCATACCTAGCTAGATTTTTTCTCTCTGAGTCGATGAATATATTGTAAGCTTAAATTTAATTTAGGCGCTATAGTAACTCTAAATGATCATATGTTCGATATCTATCTTTACTTTGACAAACATATTAGTTAAATCAGATTGCATGGGACAAAACCTCTAAAATAGCTGTAACGTTGATTCTGATGTATTTTTGAGATAGATTTATGACCCTTCTATTTTCTTCAAAAAAGGAATTTAGCAAGGGTCAACTTTATAATATTTCCAAATAATTAAGTCTCTTTATAACATATCTAATTCTCTTTCCATAGATCTAACGTGTTTATTAGTCAAAATTTTCTGTTTGCCTTCTGAATCGTTTACGAAATACTGATTATTTCTGTATCATGAAAATTTCCATTTTTCACGCTTAGCCTTGAGCATCGTGGTCTTGCTTGGGAATGAGCTATGAAACATGTTGTAATCTTTAAATAGCTCTCCATTGGTTTTCTCGAAGTTGCTTTGTTACATTAGTTATGTAATTTCCTTCACTTCAACCTGCTTTTTGTTAGAAGAATAAATTGAAGAACAGTTTTCTTGTCATCACAGGGATAAGTAGAGAAATCATGGAAGCGCCACTGATGTGGGGCTGTTGGATTTTCAAAATGTTCACCTTGATCTGGCACTATAAATACATCTCTTACATGATCAATCTCTGCATTCACTGGACATGTCTTATTTGTTTTTTGGTTAACCCTGGCATTTCTTATTCCAGATGCAGGTCGCCTGCCCTTAGATCGACCATCTAATGACTCTCATATGAAAGAAGCAGATGCAGTGCCAGAACCAACCTCCCAGCCTCAAAGCAAATTGCTGAAACCTATTTGGGAGGTGCCCCCTCCTGGTTCTAAAATTCCACACCTGAAGAGCTTTAAACTGACAAAGGAACTAGTTCAGCAAAGAGTGAAGAATAATGTTGTAGTAGTGACCTTTGGTAACTTTGCTTTCATGGATTTCATCCTGACTTGGGTTAAACACTTGACAGATTTGGGTGTTGATAACCTTCTCATTGGTAATTTTCTCAGTATTCTCATTGCATGGAAGAACGTTTCGCTGTGGTTGGTCATGTTCCTAGGCTAACAAAAACACCATATTTATTCCTAGGTGCCATGGACACAAAACTGTTAGAGGCTCTTTATTGGAAAGGCATTCCAGTTTTTGATATGGGTAGTCATATGAGCACAATAGATGTTGGTTGGGGCTCTCCAACATTTCACAAAATGGGGAGAGAAAAGGTTATTTTGATAGATTCTATCTTACCTTTCGGCTTTGAATTACTGATGTGCGACACTGATATGGTCTGGCTAAAGGTAATCTATCTGTAAAGCTTGTTTTCTTCTATAAGCTCTTTTGCGGATGCTGCCATCCTTGTGCTGATTTACCAATGCGCCTAAATTCATCTTTTTAATGTCAAACGTTCTTCTAATGCTGGCAAGCTATTTTTTCTATAAAATGAAGTATTAAGTTACCTATGAAAATCTGCTTCCAATGAACTGCAATCCTATGGATAGAATCCACACAGATTGCATATAAAGATCTTGTTGATTCCTCTTCAAAAACATTTTGAGTTGAGATACAACAGTTAGATAATCAAATAATAAGCGAAGTTCGGACACAAACATGTGTAAAGGTAAATAGTTACTATGAAGCACGTGTATCTTGCACTCTCGCTCTCTTTGAGGAGGAGATGCACACCCTATGTCATTTAATGTTTGAAGGAACCAGTGCAAAAAACCTCAAGATATTCACCCTCCAAGATATAACAGCCCATCATAAATATTTAACCAATCTGCAGTAATGATCCAAGCTCAATGGCATACGCTACTTGTACCTTTCTTTGACCGCACAATATATCAAAATATGTACATAAAACATGATGTTTTGTGCATACGTGCATAGAAAGTATGTTAATGTGTAGGGATTGAAGTAATTTATAGGTAGTTTACACCCTTACAGTTTGTGGAGAAATAATACTCCACTATCTTATGATCTCCCTACAATTTTTCAACTTTCTCCCCTAACATCCACAATATTGTTCCATAATATGAAGATGTCCATTAACTTTCACAATTATGTTCCATGTTCGTTATCAGTTGTTATGGAATTAATTCTCCATCCTTTCATCTTAAATGAAGAATTGATTTCTATCTCTGTCTTTCTTATTTGATTATTTGAAAACTGGGCTGAAGGAAGAACAAGAGAGTAGTTCTTTTTATTAGACTTAATTTTTCTTCATTTGGCCGGTGAGAAAAGAAGTGGGTAGCAAGCTAGTTCATCTTGGTGAGTATATGTGAATATTTTGTGTGTGTGTTTACACAATAACACATATGAGTTTTGAAATTCCAGTTATTAGTATACTCAATTTGTTCTCTAATCTTCATCCTTTTAAAGCTTTTCTAGATGATCTTCTGGTAGAAAAAAAAAAAAAAAAGGGGCTACTAGCTTTTTCAAATACTTGCTACTGCCATCTTTCTAATTCTCAATGCACGCTTCCATTGCTTTTGAGCTTTTTATCCCTAATAAACATAGTACGCTTTCAACAGACTCCTTCCTCCAGAGTCCCAATCCAGTTTCTTGTTGCTGCATTCTTTTCACTGACATCAATTTCCCTTGAACAGGATCCTCTTCCATATCTTGCACGTTTCCCTGAAGCAGATGTGTTAACTTCTAGTGATCAAGTCGCACCTACAGTTTTCGATGACAGATTGGACGTTTGGCAACAAAGTAAAGCTTCTCTTGCTCATCTCTGTTTTATTTATAGGTTGTCAAGCACAATGACCTTGCAGATTGTTCAATCCTTGTCGTGTTTTATCAGGCAGCCTTCAAAGAAAGGGTTGCACCTCTTTTTTTCTCCTCTACATGGCAAAGAGGACAGATGCATAGAACTCCATCTGTACTCTTTTTTCTTTCTTTTTTACCTTTTCGATGGTGATGCATTTGCAATGTGTTTACGGGTTAATTTTTATACTCATTCCATACTGCTGTGGTTATGAAGAATATGATTCCTTGGATCTTCCAGTAGGTGTAGTAATGGTCCAAACTCAGTAGTGAAAAGAGATCTGTGTAGTCAACCTCAAATTTAATGGGAATAAGGTTAAGTTTGTAATTTTTCTTGTTATAGTTTGTGTTTTAAAATGATGAATTGATTTGGCGACTTGATCTGGCATGATGATTTAGGTGACCGTAGAAGGTATATTATTTTGAGAGACACAAGGTTAAAATAAGTTATGAATCTTTTGTATAATTTGGATATGTTTGGTAAAGCTTTTTTCAAGCTTATAAGTTGATCAAACATCATTTTTGTCTACACATTTTGTAGAATCCGCACTTTTATCCACACACTTTGTAGGACCCGCAGCTTATAATCTGTAAGAAGCTTTACCAAACATACAGTTGGAAGTAGATAAAGTCGATAAGTTGATGCTACATGGTTCTTTTTTAATTATCTCAACAAAAGTTAAAAGCTTATGCTCATGGAAAATGGACATTATTTTCAAACAATGGGGCCTTTGTTAATTTTTTTTTTTTTTTTTTTAAATTAGGTATTAATTTTATCTGCCGCAGCCAATTTATATTCGTTTTTCCATTTTGTGCACAGCTGGTGCTGCCTACAACATTGGAATTTTTCATTGGAGGCCAACAGATTCTTCAAAAAAGTTGGCCAAAGAATGGAAAGAAATGCTTCTAGCAGATGAAACGATATGGGATCAAAATGGTTTCAATGAGATCATTCGCAGGCAGCTGGGGCCATCCGTTGATGAAGATAGTGGACTTGTTTATGCTTATGATGGAAACCTCAAACTGGGACTTCTCCCAGCGAGCATCTTTTGCAGTGGACATACGTACTTCATCCAGGTTTTTGTTTGTGATTTCTGTATGACCTCAATTTCTGATGTACACTTGACTGCAAAGTAAATAAGAAAAGAAAAGAATAGAAGATTACAAAAAATTCTCTATAATATTATTCCTGTCTATAGTCTAAATCTTGAATATCCGAAAGGCTACATCACTCAAGAGATTTCCTCAACCTTGTGCTAATTGTCAGGCTATATATGAACAACTCAAATTGGAGCCCTATGCTGTACATACCACTTTTCAATATGCTGGTACTGAGGGGAAGCGCCATCGGCTGCGTGAAGCTAAGGTTTTCTACGATCCACCAGAATACTATGATTCTCCAGGTTTATATCAATTTTCCGACTTTACAGCCTTGTACAACAATCTCGTTGTCTCGAAGAAAGATGTCCATCAATCCTTCCCCAGTGATTCTTTTTCACAATTTACTTATTTTATCCAGAAAGCGATGTCAAATTTCTCTGGAACATTGTGGTTCATGTCATAATTCACATGATGCTTATCTCAACTTGAAGTTGGTGTCATCTGTCAACAGACTGCCATGAGATGGCTTGGTTGTGATGAGAACAAGTTGTTCACTTGCTTAGTTAAATAAAAGTCCGCTTGCCACATTGAATAAAATAAAAAAGATTCAAAATAAAAAACTGGCTAGACTCTAAATCAGGCAGTATTCTGCTGTTTATATTCTTGCAAAATCACATTGTTTCGGAGAAGATATACCACAAAAGTTTAAACATGAGGAAATCCAAGTCTCTAATATTTTTGCAAGATCACATCATTTCAGATAACCATCAGGAAATCTCTTCTTGTCTTACTTGATACGAGCCTCCCAAATTCAAGTTTGCTAGGTATTTGTCCAATGAGTATAAATGGCCAACTGTCTCCTAATAGTTCATCTTTATAATATAAATGAATTTACTTAGCCGTTAGGAAAATTCTTGTCAATTGCAATAGAACCACACTTGATAGGTTGCTAGTCTTTCTCGCAAAATTTTAGGAAATTCAACCTGTTTTCACAGAAGTCCTTTCTCATGTATCGAAATGGGAACCAACCCAACCAGGTAGTCGATTCACTTGCATCTGAGGGGTAGGATCAACGCCATTGTCAGGAGTATGGTCCCCTTGACCTCCCACGACGTCTTCAAGCTCTTGTACAGATTGATAGATAGATATGGACTTCCTCACATTAGAGAATGTTAGCTTGATTTTCTGTGCTTATTTTGTATTTGAAGTAGTACTTCCCCTCTTATTTGCATCTCTTCATATGTTGCATCTTTTTGCTTCTGGGAGGTCAAGTTTACGCCTTCCTTTCTCTTGTTCTTGTGTTTTGTGTTTTTATATATATGGTCTGGGAATCCAAACCCCATCAGCCTTACCTGATGGCGCCTGAAAACTTAACGGTAATGCTAGTGTTTTGCATATGAAAAAAAGTCCCTTCTCTAATGGTTTAGAATCCAAAGATGTACCAAGCCTTATTTTACTTTAGTCTTTTAAGTTTAGTTTCCTTATCCCTAACTTTCTCATTTTCTCCACAATAACAGTAAGCTAAGCCCATGTTTCGCTAATGTTTATAAATTATTTTTAATCCAGCAAACTAATTTTTATCCAGATTTCAGGAAACTCACAAGTACTATACATTATCAACCACTCATTTCTATCTATTTATAATTTATACCATTCAGAAATGCTTCTCAAACAAGCTTTTGGTTGTATTTCTGATAAATTTGGAGTAGGCTAGATGAATCATTTTTTATACTGTTCCATCCATTACTGCATCTATTGGAAGTTTCAGTGCAATCATATCCTTGGTAACCACAATTGATTGTGTTAATTTTAGTGTACGTTTACCTCTTCTAAATTGTTCTAATGGGATTAATTCACTCTTTTGGAAAGGAGTCTGATTAGGTCAATGCAAGACATGCTCCAACCGCTTAAGCTGTTGTTCTTTTAATATATTCTCAATTGGTTCCACCGCCAACTGTTCATTTATCATAATCTTGTATCTCAAATATTCTAGCATTGTCAATCTTAACATCCTTATTTCTGCTACGTTAATCTAATGGAAGTATGTCTAATAACCATTTCGTGTAACTTCCCTTTTAACCTTATAGGTATTTTCCTATCAATTAGAATCTTTGTAGTGCTTCTCCATTTTATCAACACGGTTGTCCTCTTGATGTCCTCCTTTACTAATGATTTTACATAAGTACCTGAAACAACCACTTTTGGGACAATGTGATCCTAAGTAGTGATACAGCTAGTATCGTTATTCTTATCATTAGTAAAAAGGACACTGTATTGTTTCTTGTTCTTAACCTAAAACCTTTAGATTCTGTAATACTCCTACAAAGTTCTAATTTACAAGTTAACCCCCTTTTAGTCTCATTAACTAAAACTTGTCATAAACAGATAACATAAGCCGGAACCTTGATGAAAGCTTATGCTGATAGGAAGTTTTCCAGCTCTCATTATTGCTACATAATAAATATCTTTTGTAAACTATAAAAAGTACATTTTCTCTGTATTACCTCCTTAGACACCGTATCATGCATTTCCTAAATCTATAAAACTATATGCTAACTTTTTTTTTTTTTTTTTTTTTTTTTTTTTTTTTTTTACTCTTTATCCTTTTGCATCAATCTCTAAGCAGGTAAATTGCTTTCATAGTAGATTTCTTTGGCATATATGCTCAATCACCCTCTCTTATAATTTCGTAGTATGACTCACAAGTGTAATGTGATGCCCCAACTCTCAACTTCTAATCTTAAGTAGGGCCATTAACTTTTAAGTTTTAAAGTGGAAAATTCTTGTGCCAAACTCATTTTTATTAATCTTTACCAGTTGGATAGATTTGCCAAGTTTTACTCAAAAATTAATGCCCCTTGAACAATATCTGAGAAATCTGAAACTAGTGCCAAATTTTAAAAACACCCTAAGGTAAGTCCATATCAAAATTAGTGCACATCCAGGGTCGGGATGACCTTCAATCACTGGAGGGAGAAGGAAGTTTTTGTTGGGAATTTTCAGCAACGCCTTTACTCAGAAAATTTAGAAACTTTGACACATGAATATTTAATTCATGTATTTTATATTGTTCAAAAAATAATTTCACATAGGATAACATATTATAAGGGCAGAATCTGGTTTTATGATTTAAATAATGCAAATCTCTTAAGTAAATTCTTTGCTGTTGCAATCTCGCCCAACTTCAGAAAATTATTAAAAAGTCAGATGAAATTATTTTCACACATAGCTCCCTGGTTCTACTAATACCATGAATATTCGTGAAATCATATTTGGCATATAAGGTCATGAAATCCTGCCAAAACAGAAATGTGACATTGCTGGAAATTGAAAAACAGCAAGCTTAATTATGGTATTTAAAACTTTTTTCATGAAATCCCCCTAAAAGCGATTAGACGGTTCCAATATCTCAACAAGCGAAGAAAACATGCTATTAAATCAATTATAACTATTTTTGAAGTGAAAGAAACAGTATTTAACTAAAGTGAAGGAATCTTGTTCTTTAGTAACCAAATCGAAGAAACATCACAAGAACTTGAATAAAGATGTATATAACATTACTGGCCATTGATTGATTCCAATCTGTTTGTGCATATACCAACAACGCTCCAAACCTAATCAAAATTCTTGGACTGAACTTTTGATCGAAACAAAGGGCTCTTCTCACTAAATCTTGAACCAAAATTCAGACGCATGCACAATGTTTTCTCTCTTAATTTTCTCTTTTCTTCCCTCTAAATATTTGGTTTTGGCATTTTATGTTTCTGCTACTAATTTACCAAGCATTAATTTAATATCAACAGGAGGACATTTTCTGTTAATTGAACTTATGTCCTAGGATATGTACATTTATCCATATCAATTTAATGTATCTTGCATCGAATAGTTGAACTTCGAAAAGGAAGAGTCAAAGGTGAATTTCGCTATTAATGTGATCCCTATTGTGATTTTTTCTAGGTAATCATTTTGTAATTTATTGCTCAATTCAGAATTTGACAGACCTGAGTGTAGAAGTATTGCCCTTAAGCTTCTCCATTTCTTATTTGTCAAGGGTGCATTCAATTCTAATTCTTCTGAAAATCGTATGCAGGAGGATTCTTGATATTTAAACCATCTATTCCCAAGAGCTTGTTATTAGATGGCAAGCATAACGTAGAGTCACACTTCACTCTGGTTAATTACCAAGTATGTGCTTGTAGATTTCTTTATATTGATTCTCTATAACATGATGAGGACTGTCCATGTCGTATCTTTTCTAATCATCAGCCAAAATGATTTCAGATCAAACAAATAAGGACTGCACTTGCCATTGCTTCATTATTGAACCGTACACTGGTGAGAACTGTTCTGCTTTTATGAGAATTTCTCTCTTTCTCGTGGAGTTTTTAGTAAAAGCATCTGGATAGAAAAAGATAACATATCTTTGATGATTGATCTAACATAAAAATTGTATTGACTTGTTGAATTTACTAGTTTGTTAACAATTGTTGTTTCAGGTTCAGGTTTTGATCTGTCTTTTTCATTTTTTGTCATTTTAGGTAATGCCTCCACTATGGTGCAGGTTGGATAGATTGTGGTTTGGACATCCTGGGGTTTTGGTGGGCACTTTGACAAGGCAACCATTTATATGTCCATTGGATCATGTGTTTGAGGTATTTGATCAGTTTGCTGAACTTCCATGTGGCCTTCCGTCGTCTTGCTAAAAGAATCGAAAATGAAAGAAATGTCCATTTACTTCATCTCTTAACTCTTTTTTTACAATCCCTATTTGATATCACCCGGAATTAAAAAGAAAAAATTGGTAGTGTTCAGAGGAATTTCCGTGATGGTCTTGCTTTTCTCATATTTTCAATTATTAGTTTTGTCACGTAGTGGAAAAAAAAATGAAAAAAAAAATGAAAACTATGTAAACAGAATTGTATATATATTATGTTATTTTGTTTATTTTATTTCGGTCTGATACATTTCAATTATTCATCTTGTACTTCAGGTTAATGTAATGTTGAAGGAATTTCCGGAGGAGGAAATGGGGCCAAAGATTAATTTTAGGGAATATTCTTTCTTTGAAAACCCACTTTTGCCCCAGAAGGTGAACCTCTCATCTCCAAGTATAACAAAGATCACTCATTTCATTAGTCCATCTATCAAAACCTGACTATTCCATTCCATTTCTTTAAGGTAAAAGAGTCATGGCTTGACGTGCATCTTTGTCAAGAGGGGTCACAAGGTTGTCAAGTTTCAAACACTACAAGTCAAGTGGGAGTTCTCAAGTTCCCTAAGCGCAGTACTGAAGAAACGGTAATTGTAGATTTTTATATCTCAAATTAATCAGAAACTTACGATCATTTGGTTTGTTGTTTTCAGTTTGCAGTTTTGCTAAATACCCTATTTAGAATTGACTCATGCTTTATAATAAGGGCATGTTTGGGAGCGATTTTTCCTCCCAAAAAATTGATTGTTTGACCGTTATTTCACTATTCCAGCCGTCATATTTGACTTCTTCTCTCACAGGTGAACCCCACTTTCTCCTAACAATCAAAAAATCAATTCTCAAAATAATTTCCAAACAGGCTCTAAAACAACAATCATGCTGGTCAACTGTTCTATCCTGTGAGGAAAAATCAGTTTAATCATCAGAACATTCTCTAGATTGTTCTTCACTCTATAAGATTGATGTTTCAACTTTCATGTGCCCATTTCAAATCTTCATATTCACAGACGACGAATTGTTGTTTTTGACTTGTTTGTTCCATGCAGTTTAAGACAATATTCTCATCATTCAAGGATGTTAAAGTCATTCAGTTCTCATCAATGCAAGGTGCATTTTTAGGTTTCACAGACAAGGTACGCGTTTTTCTTTCTTTATTTGTTTTTGTATTCGAGTTTTACTTCCAGATTGAAGCTTCTGATACACTTAAAAGAACATATTCTAGTTCTCAATGCACATATTTGCATGATCAGAAACGGGAGGAAAAATTCAGAAATCGAATGAAACGGTATGTGGGCATTTGGTGTTGCGTGGAGGATCACACTCCGGGTCACATATATTATGACATGTATTGGGATGAGAAGCCCGGTTGGAAACCAATTCCTCCCCAAACGCCACAAGAGGATCATCCTCCTTGGTAAGGCTCGACCCAATGTTTGTATATGCTGCTACGCCATTGTCGTTGGGAAGTGGAGAGATAGAAGCCACGGAATATTTGTAGCTGTTCCATATGCCTAACACCCATTCTTTACATCAAGAGACATCTATCCATATTTATCGTTGTTGTATCTTAATATTTATCTACAAAAGTAATGTTACTCATCATCACTGATGTTAGACATCTGTCTATGTGGTAACTACATGGCATTAAATGATAGATTCATTTAAATGCAACTTCACATGATTCATTTAATTAAACATGTCGAGTGTGGTCATCTAGACTGATGCTAGATGGTATTGTTCTTATTTACACACTATGGTTTAGCTTTTTGGTTTGAAGTATCTATGCTTACTGTACAAAAATAATAAAATGATAAAATTAAATAAAAAATTGATTTTAAGCAAGAGAGCTAATCATTCAAAGATTCAGCTCCAATCATACCTTGTACATTTTTTTTTCCTGCTGTGGGAATTTGCTGCATGTTTCATTCAAACTCGATATCGGCAGACTTTTCTAGGCATAGAAGAATGGGTGATTTTTTTATATTTTTACTCGTAAGTATTTTGTTAGAGTCTGCATAAAGATAAATACGAGTATTTTGACAACCTTGAGCATATTTGCTAATAGGCAAGAAATATGCTCTTTTAAGTGAATAATTGCTTCTTTCACTTTAATCTGTATAAGCAAACCTGAGCGCGATTTTGTTTGGGTTGTTTTGATTCTAACTCAAGACCACAACCAAATTAGACGGTTTGGGTTTTGATTCTAACCCTATATCACAACCAAATTAGTCGATTTGGATGAATTTTAATCTAAACAAACCTACTCTAATGGTTTGGTTAGTCGGGTTGGACTTTTACTCTAAATTAAATTTTTCAAAAAAAAAAAAAATTAACCAAGTTTTGGATCTGCTTAGATTACAGAAACTAAAATAACTTTATATTACAAGAGTTATTAATTAACAAATAAAATTGGGTTAATAGAGTAGATCAATTGAAAATTTAAAAATTCTGTTACTTTTTTTATACATTACGTAGTCTGACTGAGTATGGAGAAAAAAATATATAACATAATGAGCTTATAAAAGAAAATTTCCATCGCTATTACTTAGATTAGAGTGAATCAAGATTTAAATGTGAGATTAGAACTTATCTTTTCATTTTGATTTTTCTTAAAAAACTTAACCGATGGTTTTCTACTTCAAACAATATCTAATCCAATCCATCAGGATTTTATATTCGAAAAAATAAAATAAAAATAAACCAAATCAATTACCTGCATCAGACCAACTCGCCCCAATTCAGTATGAATGATTTAATCGATTTTTTGTTTTTTTTTTGGCTTGACCTGCGTCTAACATATCAAATATATTATTAACATTTTTTTTTTCTCCGTTCATACTTGGAGCTAAACGAGGAATTCGTCAGACAAGGAGCTTGCATTTGATTAACTAGTTCATGAAGGAACAATTATTGAGATTAATTGGCTACAGCGAGACTAATATGAAAAGCAGCCTTGCTTTCTACAAGCATTACAAATAAGACCAACATAATAATCATTTTTTTTTCTCTGATAAAACCATAAACACGTTTTACATTTGACAGAATAATAAATGGAACTCTTGAAATGGATTTTTTACTAAAAATAATTAAAAAACATTTCGATGCTTTTAACATTCACAAGCAATAACTCGATGCTTAGAACTTTCTTTTCAAATAGAAATGACAACGGATCGAGTTCGGAACGGGGCAAGTCCCGTCTCGCCCAAACCTCGTCCCGCCCCACGCCCACTTTAGATGAGGCAGGACACGAGGCATGGGGGACGTGACAACTATATATATATATATATAATTAAAGAACAAAATACAAATTCAAAATTAATTTTTAACAAATGAATTGTCTAAATAAAATTTTTTTTTAATTTTTTTTTTTTTTTTTTTTTTTTTTTTTTTTTTTTTGGTTCCGTCACAGGCGGATTTGGGGCGGGGCATCCTCGCCCCATGCCCCACCAACCCGTTCGGGATGGATTTTCTTGCCCCATTCAGGCAAAGCGGGTTTTTTCGCTATAACTATTTCCGAATAAGTTCGAAAATTAATTTGAAAATTATCTTTGGCTAAATAAGTAACTAAAATGTAAAATTAATTTGTAGTGACATTAAAGAACAGCCAAACATTCTTATTCAATAATCTACCTCGCTGTTCTTAGTTTGCATAATATCCAATCCAAGCAAAAGCGATAATCCCAGTCAAAATAATTATATCATAAAGAACAAAATCCTTCTAGTGAAACTCACACAACATAAATAGTCCAAAGAAAATATGAGAAACGAATCCCAATCACAGCCAGCTAGTAAATATATGAATACAGTAACAAAAATCGTCACTACACCGAGCAAACGGATCTATTGTTGAAACGCAGTAATAACTACTTCGGTACGAAAAGCCCTCTTGTTGATTGACATAATCCATCACGTCACGTGTAGTATGAAGCCCTTTTATTTTCAAGAATTGGCACCTATGGGACGGGTGCAACTTGTCTCGACATCTAAGTTGAAAAGGGTAATCCCGCAAGCTTACGTTGATAATTGAGTTAATCATCAAGGTAATAATAAGATCCAGCAGACTTCTGCTCCCTGTCCTTGGTTGAATCCAGTTTGTTGATTCTTGGGCGGTAATTTGTTGGGTCTCGTCTAAATGTAATGTCCAATTGCTGCGTGGAAATGATGAAATGATTCACGAACGAGTAACTAGAATAAAGATAATAATTAAATAAATAAAACCAATTAATGAAAATAAAGTTAGGTGGCTCACAGATAAGAATAGGTTCATCCCACTCAATAATGATTGGGGTGAATTGGCAGTACAATCTATTGATGGCTTCCCCTCATACACGATCACTCTATCTGCCAGGTATGTTGCCATTATGAAGTCATGCTCGACCACAAATGCTGTTTTCTTTGCATGAAGTATGAACCTCTTTATGACTTTAGAAGCAACTATACGCTGCTCAGAGTCGAGATATGCACTTGGCTCATCTATCAAATATATGTCGGCAGGCTGCATTGCAAATGTAGATACAAAAATTTATACAGGTGCTTTTAGCATATTTGAATCATCGAGGAAACCATTTTTTGTTTCAATATTCGTATCAGATTTTTTCTAATTTTTCAATTTACTCTACGAGAGTATACAAAGCATGTACACTGAAGAAAAAGGGCACCTTCTGTTTGTTTCAAAATAATTGAAATGCAAGGGAGAAAAACACAATTTTCAAATTGTTACAATTGATGAACTACTTAAGCACTGACAAGGATTAAGTCTACAAAGCTATTCTAGAAAAGCATGTTGCTAAAAAGAACCTATGCCTTTTGGGCTTTTTTGGGAAGTATGTGCATAAATCATAAAAGGTGATTTTAAAAATGGCCAAACATGCTCTAAAGCTAACAGATTAAGAAAAGTACAAAAAATGCCATATCATTTCTCAAATGTCCCAGGATTAAAGGCTAGTATAGGGAGTATTAAACAACTTCGCCATCTAGACTTGTGTCCTAACATAATTCTTAGATGAAATGTGGAAAGACTGACCAATTCATAGCTCAGAAGATGCCGTGTTTTGTCTATTCAGCATAAATCTTATAACTACAAATATGGTTGGCAGTGCAACCCTACTTCCACAGGCAGCAATGTCATTGATTTTCTAGCTTCAGCCGACAAAATGCAAGTAAATAAAAAGTAACATAATCATTAACAGAAACACATTGACAAGAAAAATCCTAGGGCATAAGGAATGCATTTCCTTACTTGCAAGCATAATTGTCGCCAACCAATTGATATCAAGCTAATAATATTCAAATCAATCATGTCTCTTTTTTTAACAGTAGCAAATTTGAAGCGAAAATATTAATGATATGATTTAATACTCAAAGAAAGTGTACCTTTCCAAGGCATAGGGTCAAGGCAACTCTCTGCAACTCTCCACCAGAGAGATTCACAACCTCTTGATCCATTAGCTGCTCAATTTGGAGTGGCTTCATAACATCAGACACAAACTGAGGATGCATATATGAATCACGAATTTTTTGATGTAGCAGGTGCCTGACGCTATTTTGAAACTTTGGGCTGATTTTCTGTGGCTTGTAAGAGACATTGAACTCAGGTATCTCCACATCAGAGTCTTCTACAGTATCAGGTCTCAATAGGCCAGCCTGCCATTCAACCAGAGAGATAGTAGAACACATTTATCATAAATATTGATTTAATTTGCTGCACATTTCAGGAAAAGTAAACATGATAAAGAGGAAGAGTACCAGCATACGGATAAATGTTGTCTTTCCTGTCCCATTCTCACCAAGCATAACAATGATCTGAGAATCAGTAAATTCACCCTCGACAACCTTAAGTTTGAAATTGCCCTGGGTTTTAGTCATTGTTGGGTACTTATATCGTGCATATGTTTCAATTTCCTCAGCACTTTCTTGTGGTGTCTCAGCAACCTGAGAGAAGAATAATACACCGATGTCAGCTCTGTTACAAAAAAAATACTAGTCACTAGCACCAGAACATAATTTACCTTAAAAGTAAGAGATTCATCCCGAAATCTTAGATTTTCTGTGGGGACAAACCCAGCCAAAAAAATATTAATTCCTTCTCTGACAGAGAACGGAAGAGTAACAACCCCGTATGCACCAGGCTTGCCATAAAGGCAGCAAATGAAGTCTGATAAGTAATCCAGCACACTGAGATCGTGCTCTACGACAATTACATAGCTGAGAAGAAAAATATCAACCATGTAAAGTCTTATATAGAAAGCTGCAACATTAAATAGTGAATACATGAAGAAAATTGATGCATAGACACGGGGACATTGTAAAACCTATTAGCCCGGAGCAAAGATCTGATAACCTGGGCAGCTTTAAGCCTCTGTCTCACATCAAGATAACTTGAAGGCTCGTCAAACATATAAATCTCTGCATTCTGTATTGCGACAACAGCAATAGCAAACCTCTGAAGCTCACCACCAGATAAATCTCCTACATTACGTTCCATAACCTGATTCAGCTCAAGATCAAAACAAAGTTCTGCTTTCATATCTCTCTCATCTTTCTGCTCTAGCACTTGGCCAACATTGCCTTGGACAGCTTTTGGAATGTGATCAACGTACTGAGGCTTGATGATTGCCTGCTCAGGAGAAATTTATATTACAGCTAGAACTAGCAGAATAATTTCATGCAAAACCTACAGTTATTGAGACACTTATGGAATGCCATATAGCAACATTGTGATTA